AAAGACTTTCTCCTTGGGGAAGGAATTCATCCATGCTGTGGACATTGGAGTTGTCCAAACAGCCCCCTCCAACGTCCCCTGTGGGTGCCCGGGGACCCTGATCTGAACCAGAAGCCCCCCCCTTATCCAGCCTTCCTTTCCTGCTCACTGACGCCCTCCTGCCCTCCTAATGGGACCTGCTTTCTGTTTTCCAGAACCTTCTCTGGGCTCACCCCCCCTGCCCCCAAAACCTCCTGGGTTGTTTCCCCAGCAACCGGCAAAGGCAGGAAAGTCACAACTTCCTCCAATTGTGCAGAGCTGGTCATTCTGCGCAGCGGGAGGAAGCAGGAAATGGGCAGAGAGGCAGCATCAACGCCAGCCCTGCGAGGCTCGGGACGGGGCAAGGCGCCTTTTTCCAAAAAGGGGGGGCCAAGGGGCCAAGCTTGCAAAAACAGCAAAGGGACCCTGGCCCCAAAAGAGCCGCTTAGTGGCGGGAGATGTCTGCACGAGGGGGAATCTGAGGTGGGGCCATTGAGGAGCGTGTATAGGAAAACGGAGGGAAAGAAGCAAATCTCATCCTAGGATTTCTGGAGGCAGGAAAGCCACAAAACGGCCTAAATCTCTCCGATGACGGCTTCCGATTCAGGGAAGACCGGAAGGTGTCCTGTCTGAGGCGGAGAGCAAAGGGGCAGGCAGTCCTCCACTTACGACCATAACGGAGCCCAAAATTTCCGTTGCTAAGTGAATTTCCGTTTAAGTGAATTTTTGCCCCATTTTACGACCTTCCTCCCCACGTTTGTTAAGTGAATCACTGCAGTTGTTAAGCTAGTCACAGGTTGTTAAGAGAATCTGGCTCCCCCCGTGGACTCTGCCTGTCAGAAGGGGATCACGTGACCCCGGGATGCCGTGACCGTCATAAATGTGAGTCAGTTGCGGAGTATATCTGAATTTTGATCCCGTGACCATAGGGGTGCTGCAATGGTCCTAAGTGTGAAAAATGGTCATAAATCAGGGGTCCCCAACCCCCAGGCCGCGGCTACCACCAGGCTGTGGCCTATTTGGAACCGGGCTGTACAAACGGTGGGCCAGCGTGCACATGCGCAGCTCAGCTGGTGCAAGCAGCAGGCCGGCGTGTGTGCACATGCGTGTGCAACTCAACTTTCGTTAAGTTGAGCTGCAGGTGTATGCGCGTGCACACCAGCCTGCCGCTCACGTAAGTTGAGCTGTGCATGCACGCACATGTGTGCCGGCCCACTGCTCACGTGGCCCGGGTCCCTCTTCTCTCCCCCCCCCAGCCGGGCCACCAAGCCACAAAGGTCAGGGACCGCTGTCCTAAGTCACTCTTTTCAGTGCCGTTGTAACTTGGAACGGTCACTAATGACCGTTTGGGAAAAGGTAATTCAGCAACTGCGCCAAAGATTTTAGGGCACCTCAGGGAGGTGGATGAATCCCCCCCTCTTCCACCAGAGATCCCTCAGCTGGACCTGCTTGCTTTGGGTCAGCAATGGACAATGCTTGGTGGCCAGAAGCTCCGTGGTTGGAAGTGGAGACCAAGAAGGGACAGTGAGGAAGCCAGACGGCCAGGAGGTCCGTGCCCTTCACGGCGCAGAAATGCTCAGAAGCGTGTGAGGCTTGTTCGTCTGCTCCCAGCTATTCTGGGACCCCCCTGGCCACGTTTCTCTCTGACCGAAGCCCCCCACCAAAGACTTGGTTCTCTCACCAGTGTAGGGCGGAAGGCAGTTGCACTGGTAGCGAGCAACGTCATCGATGCACGTTCCCTGGTTCAAGCAAGGATTGGAGGCACATTCGTTGATGTTGATCTGGCAGTTGGGTCCTGGGGGGAAGAAGGAGATCTACAGGGTCCCACCTGCATCTGGGTGGCCACGAAGCCACCGAGGGGTTCTTTCCCAACCTGGAACAGCAACAGGCTAGCCCAGGGGTAGGCAACCTTGGCTCTTTCAGGACTCATGGACTTCAACTCCCAGAATTCCTGAGCCAGCCATGCTGAGGGGAAAGGGAGAGGTTTCCAAGCTGAGCCATGCTGGCTCAGGAATTCTGGGAGTTGAAGTCCACGAGTCATAAAGCGGCCTAGGCCTAGGCCAGAGGTAGGCAACCTCGGCTCTTTTATGACTGGTGGACTTCAACTCCCAGAATTCCTGAGCCAGCCACGCTGAGGGGAAAGGGAGAGGTTTCCAAGCTGAGCCATGCTGGCTCAGGAATTCTGGGAGTTGAAGTCCAGGAGTCATGAGGGGGCCATAGTTCCTCCATGCTGGCTCAGGAATTCTGGGAGTTGAAGTCCACCAGTCCTAAAAGAGCCGAGGTTGCCTACCCCTGGGCTAGACCGATGTTCCTCAACCTCTGCTACTTTAAGGACTTCGACTCCCAGAATTCCCCAGCCAATTTGAGAGTTGAATTCCTTAAAGTTATCAAGGTTGAGAAATATGGAGCTAGACTTTCCGATGGCTTCCCCAAAACACCTGGAGGGGCCAGACTGAGGTCAACTGCTTTGGTGGCCCACCTCCCCAAATAGGGATTGTCTGCCCAAGCCAACCCTCTCTTGGACAGATATTTAACTAAGCCCTTCCAATTTAGTCAAGGGTGATTTATTTATAGCAGCTTGACTTCCCTTTCTTGATGACTTCCTCTTATAAGCTGGTGATCAATGTTTAGGAAAAAAAAACCACGAATTTGCCGTGACTTGGCCAGACTTTTAGAGGGGCGAAGCTGTGGGTGAAGTCTAGGATCTTACCACTGAATCCCTCGTGGCAGGTGCAAAGGTAGCCGCTGGTCATGTCCTTGCAGGTTCCACCGTTCACACACGGGTTGGACTCGCATTCGTTGTTGTTGATGTCACAGTTGGTCCCACTCCAGCCCGGGTCGCAGTCACACTTGTAGCTTTGATTCCGGAGGAGAGAAACAAAACACACGGTGGTTGGATTTGGCTGCTTTTCTTTTAAAAATAATCCTTGCCTTTCGATGCCACTCAAACCTCTTTACAATGCAGTGAACCAACCACCTTTAAAAAAACATCATCTGTAGAAGCAGCAAAAAACAGCAGGCCAACATCGCATTAGCCCCAGCCGCCAAATAATACTTAGTGAATCTAAAATAGTCTCTGGGAGAACAAAAATAGGTCCAACTCATCACGTTATTGGGCGTTATTGGTGCCTTCTAGAGACGGGCACCCCATTTCTCCCTTGTTCTTCAAAATGACTCTGGATTAAGATCCTTAATCCTGAAAAATGACTCTGGATTAGGATCCTGAGATTTAAGGGAGAAGCTTTCTGGCTTTTGATCGCCCCAAAAAACAGCAGCCCCAATGGAAAAATCTAACTTGTCCCATGATAGTCACCTTGGACCTTATCCAATTTCTGCTCAAGAATGAAGCTTTCCATTCTCCCTCCTCCACGGTCCTTTTTTTAATGGCCACCGCAGGCATTTAACAGATTTAACAAAATAACAGAGTTGGAAGGGACCTTGGAGGTCTTCTAGTCCAGCCCCCTGCTCAAGCAGGAGAGGGACATGTTCATCAGGGCTTCAGCTCACAAATAAGAGACCTAATGAAGAAGTCCTGCATACTATCAGCAAACCCTGCCTGGGTCACTTAATCCAGCAAAGGACTCGTGGCAGAGAAAAAGGCCAGGCCTTGAGGCACTCAGGACTACAAAACAGAAGATGAAGTTGCTAATCATGAACGAAGTGGCTTGGGTGAGGCTTCAGATCGCCCTAGATCAGGGTTTCCCAACCTTGGGAACTTTAAGGCACAGGGACCAACTCCCAAAACTGAATTCACTTCAACTGAAGTCCACGTGCCAAGGTTTGGAAATCCTGCCCTGAAGGGGTTTCTGACAGAGGCATCCCAAAAGTTGCTAATGATACGATGGCGGCCTTTGTACTAAGAAGAAGCCGGTTCGCCCTCCACCCAATCCTAGAAGATTTGAAAGCTGCTTCAGTCTGGAACCAAATCTTTTGATCAAAGCTCAGCCTTGCACAGAACGGTGGATTGATGCGGCTTCTACGGGGTGTGCCTTATCAGGGGCTTCACAGGCCTGGAGACAGAATTTGGGACTTTATGCATTATGCCCAGCCAGTCAGAGTCTTGGCCATCCCCACCTCACAGCCTGATCTCCTCAAAAGTCTGCATTCTCTTCCCAGCAAGATTCAGCTTTGAGATTTAAAGAACGATACCACATGGGCGCGTTCCATGCCTTTATGCGTTTGCATTTTTAAAGTGAGTAATTTTGTATTTTATGTGACTACTTGTGCATTGTTATAGTTAAGTACAATATATAAAAACTAGCTGTACCCAGCCACGCGTTGCTGTGGCTCAGTCTGGTAAAAGCATGTGTTGCTTTTACGTCCAACAGATGGCGCTGTTTTTCAAAAAAAGCATGTTTTTACTTGTCACAGGTGTGACATCTATATAACAGTAGGTATATAAAAACACCCGCGTATTCGAATGCAACGTTGTGTCAAAATTTCAAAGCAATCGGTGAAGAACTTTCGGAGATTTAAGATTTTGAACAAACGAACATTTACATTTTTATTTATATAGATAGACATGTATTCATCTCAGTCATATTTTTTCCTCCCGAGGCTTCATCTCACTCTTCCAATTCTATCTGCACAGCAATCCTGTGAGGTAGGCTGAATTAAGAGAGCCTGACGTGGGTGAGCTTCTGTAATTGAGCATCCACCTGAAACTGCTCCTTGACCCAACATCCAAATCAATCCTTGGTTCCCTGAGGGCAGCGTGCGGATCAGAGCCAAACATGGGGCTCCCAGCAGCCCTCTGGCTCCCCACCCTGACTTTTAATTAAGATCCTTAATAAATGAGAATCTAACGCTGCTCCGTAACAACCCTTCCCAACCTTGTTTGATTTCCTGAAAGGCTGCTGGGCCCAGCAGCGTCCTTAGAAAGGGCAAAGAGAGGCGCCACGCAGCTATCCCTCCCAAAACCTCCACCACAAGCGGTCATGTTTCCCAGGGTGCCCCTCCCGCCTGGCGCAGCCTTGCCCGCCGCTCACCCGTTCAGCCCGTCGTGGCATCTCCCGTGGACGCAGGGGTTGCTGCTGCACTCGTTCACTTCCGAGAGGCACAGCGGGTCATGGAAGCCTTCCGGGCACAGGCAGGTGAAGCCGTTGATGGCATCCCGGCAGGTGCCCCCGTTGTGGCAAGGGCTGTTTTCGCACTCGTCCACATTGATGCTGCACATCCTCCCTGCAGAGAGGAGAGGAGCCAGTGGGGACCCTGTCCTGGGGGGAGAGGGGGCGCAAAGCCCACAGGAGGAGGTGCCCCACGCTCGCGTCTCTCCCGCCCTCCCTCACCTGTGTATCCTGGCTCACAGGCACATTCGTAACCGTTGATTTTGTCCACACATTTGCCATAATCACACGGGTTGCTGGCACACTCATCCAGGTTGATTTCACAGTTGGGTCCTTGGAAAAAGAAAAGAGCGGTTAGCGAAACGGTCCAGGACTGGGAACCCCGTGAAGCTAAAGGCATTTGTGATGCTTTCAGTCTATCTCAGTGTCACACACACACACACGAAACCATAACACCCCTTTTCTTCTCAGTGACTGAGAGTTAGGCCACAGTTTTGCCCCAACTGGGGCTCTGAAAAATCCCAGCGTCGTTTTAAGAAAGTTTCTCTGGTTGACATCCAGGGATGGAGAGGTGCGCAAGTTGAGACCTTATAAAGTCAAAAGAAAACTCACTCCCATCTGTCAGGCAAGAGACAAACAAACAGTGAAGCAAGCTTTGGGGGCCTGTAGCAATGGGACTTCCTGGTGACCAGCAAAACCATCATCCACAAGACAAAATTGCAAAATTAAAATATTACGCAATGACCGGCGACTTGGGTAAGGCCCAGAATTTGCCTCGCCGGGCAAAGATTTATTTGGGGTGCTCGCCAGAGTCCTGCCAGCGATAAAGGGAACCATTTCCTTGCAAACCTGGGTTCAATTGTGGAGACCGATGGATGAAAGTTATCAGAAAGGCTGTCAGAAGAGAAACCGGGAAGTCTTTGCTCTGCGGCCGTTCATCTCAATAAATCTTGTTAAAGAGAACTTTGCTTACAAAACAGTGGCTCCTGGTTTAGCCAGGCAGAAAGAGGAGGCTGGCAATTTTAGCCCCAATATACAGGTTGTCCTTGATTTACAACCCTAAGGGAGCCTGCCAATGACGGTCGTCAGTTGTGACAGCTGTAAAGCAGGTCATCATCGG